CCACCCAAGCGGAAGCCCCCTCCGGCCTCGGAGTGCACCTGCCGGGCCGGCCCTGGCCGCTGAGCGGTTTCCACAGGATGCAAAAGTGACTTAAGCGACTTAACCCCGAAGAGTCCTAAAAATGTTTACTTAGTATGATAGCCCCAAGTCAACAGCTAAAAGAATTAACTTTCCCAGCTTCCCCAATGGCAAAGGAAGGTGTCTTTCTTGGCACCTGTTCCATTCCTCAAAGGTTCTGCCTGTATTTGGGAATCACAACTTCCCCTTCCCGACCCCCACCACCATGTAGCAGGGCTCATGAGTCCCGGAAAAGCCCTGAAGTACGTCATTACACGCTCCCAAATATACGCTATTTAGAAAGTCCATGCTGGGAGGGCACAGAGACCATGGGCTTTTTACTAGGTTAGCAAAGCACACCGGAAGAAGATAAAATGAGCCAAAAACCTAGTTGGCAAAATGGATATGCTGGATTAGTTCATTGGGATAATCATTAGCTCGGTTTCCTTCTGGAAATTTCCAACATACATTTCCCTAAAGGCCACCAAGTAAGCACATCCCTGACTTTTCCATGCACTCACTGCAGCCCCTCCCAGGCCTCTTGGATGGAAGATTTTTAAGGCTTTCCCCACCCTTGTATTCTTGTCTGCCCTTCATTTGTTTAACAAATATTTACTAACCTCTCCTGGTGGCTTGGAAATGTCCTAGGGGAAAAAAAGAAAGAGAGAGCGAGAGAGAAGGAAGAAAGGATGCCTGGCCTCAAGATGCCACCTAGCAGAAAAGCAAACATGCACAACTAAAACACGAAGTGACTGGATCTTACATTCAGGCTGCAACCATCACATGACTGGGGGGGCAGGGAGGGCAAGAGCAGATGCATTATTTTAGGGCTTGTGAGGTGAAGAGAAAATGCAAGTGGCCTCTACAGGGGGTATTATCAACAAGGGTCCCTGTCCTGGGAGGTCTCATAGCCCTAGCTGGGCAGGAAAGAACGCTCCAGGCAAAAGGAACAGTGTGAGCAAAAGTCATGTGGCACGATTTAATAACAGAATGGAAAATGGTTGGAAAGGTGGATGGATTCTAAAGAGTCACAGATGCCACCCTAAAGAAATAAGACAATCCCATGCAGTGTGGTGGGGGAAAATGCAGAGTATGGAGAGGGGAGCACCTGATTTGAATTCCAGCTCTTACACCCTTAATTTGCTCTAGGATTTCGGTCAAGGTGCTTAACCTGTCCAAGCCTGGATTACTGTGAAACCTAAAAAGTAACATCAACCTAGCAGGATGCACACAAAGATTGGAAATAATGAAAGGTCTGTTAGCGAAGAGCCATCTTTCCCTACGTAGTGGGAGCTTGTAGGCACAGCCAGGACTCTGGGTTCAGAATGCGTGGGTCCAACCCAGCTATGACCTTGGGCAGTTCACCAGATACTTTCACTTTCCTGTCTATAAAATGGGGATAAGAGTGCTACCTCTTAGGGCTGATGCCAGAAATAAACACCCTACAGGTGTAAATGCTGGGAAGGGCGATCTATAAACCACTGTCATTTATCAAGGGACATCGGAGAACATCAAAGGTTTCTACAGTGGAAAAGATGCCAGGTGTGGCCATAGTGTGACAAATGGATGGTGGAAGAGTAAAGAAAGGAATGTCAGCAAACTTGTAATGAGAAAAGAGACAAGGAAAGGCCTGAGTCCACACAGTGGCAAGAGAAATGGGCAGAACTTGAGAAACTCATCTTCGGAGACGCTGGGCTGTGTGTTGCTAAGAAATGGGAAGGAGAGTCGTGTGGATTTAGCCTTCCTCCAAACATAAATATGTGCACCGTTGTCCATGCATCCACAGCCTCTGACCAGGTGCATGCTATACCTAGAAGGATTAGCATGCCTTTATTTGCCTTACGAAAAAGAACAGAAGAGCCAAGTGATGGATTCCTCCTTCCCTCCTTTTCAACCCCACATGTTGAAACAGCCTCCTTTAGAGACTCTTAAAAACTGAGAACTGAAGGCTGAAGGTGGGTGGGTGATGGGTATTGAGGAGGGCACCTTTTGGGATGAGCAATGGGTGTTGTATGGAAACCAATTTGACAATAAATTTCATATTAAAAAAAAAGAAAAGAAAGAAACAGCCTCCTTTAACCCAGTGGTTCTCAATGCCGCTTTTAGACCGGAAGCGCTTTTAGACTTGTCCCTCCCCACGTTTCTGACTCAGCTGGTCTCGGGGACAGCCTGGGCCCCAGGATTTTGTTACAGTCCCCAGATGGCTTTGGTCCAGGGTGCACAGCACTAACGCAATGGCACCCGCCACTGTGGTCTTTCCTCCAGCACTGGCCCTGGGGGCGAGCCCTGCAGAGCCACGTTCTAACACGGGTACTGTGACAGGACAGCTGGGTACCCGCTCTGTTGCCCACATTGCAATTCGGATTCCCGTTTCCACCGCACTTTATAGGCAAGTCAAAGCCAGCTCGCGACTCCGACAGCCCTAACTACACGGCTAGATTATTTTCCCAACACCAAGTGTTTGCAACGGTCGAGAAAAGAAATTTATTAGCAAGTCTGGTCTCCTTAAACTGACTTTCAAATACTGCCAAAGAAGTTCTTTCCGGAAGCTCTGGGTAGGAAAAACAAAGGCTTCATTTATTTACTCCTTTGCTTTGTAACACAAACACGCATGAGAGAGTACGCGCTCTAGCCACGCTTATGATAGGTAATGCCGCGTGGAGTGCAAAACACGACAGCCTACCTGCCTGGGGGGGGGGGGGAGCTTCACCCAGGCCTTCATGCTGAGTCTTGAGAGATGCCCAGAAATAGAGGAGGAACACGTGTGGGCAGGGTCCTGTGGGCACACTGGAGTCATCTCAAGCAGCCTGGTGGGGTCTGGAGCCTGGTGACCTCCACCACGGGCGGAGAGGACAGCAGAAGCAGGAGGGTGGACAGGTGGGAAGGTTGCAGCGGAAGCTGTTTTTCATTCCTGCCATGAGGCTTAATGACATACATATTAGGCGGCGGATCTCAAATGTGACAACGGCTCTGTTCCGCCAGGTGCACCCCGTCATAAAGTATCACACAGGTGCGGACATTTCTGATGACAGATAAGGATGGTGAGGATAGAGACAGCTGTGGGCCAAACGAAAAATAATCAGCTCTTCTACAAAGAGCGGACGTCTGTGCCTGCAGCCCCTGTCCTGCTTCGAACCTGCTCTTTGCAGAGCAGCCCATGGGGGTGACAGGTCTTTGCCTCCTTGTCCTGTGGCCCCTCACTAGCCTCGGCCATGCAAACATTCTGAAAAGGTGCTTTGTGGGTTAGATCAGAGGCAAATGTTTTCACTCACTTAAAACACGATTTTGAGAAGATGGACTAATTAAGTATGCATAAGGCCATAAAACCCACTTGTGGCTTTTATGTGGCAGCGAACAACCCAGCAAGGAGAAAGATGCATGCTAAAGGGAACAACTGTCTTTACTTAATGGGTAACAGGACTGATGGAAAGCGTCTTGAATCTCTGGGAGCACGTGTTCGAAATACAACTTCCCAAACCCTGAGAGGAGACCCAGAGAGGAGCTTGAGATTTTCTAAGACTTGGCGGGCTGGTGGGGGCGGGGGGGGGGGGGGGGGGGGGGGGGGGGGGGGGGGGGGTCTCAGATGCCCAGCTGGGGCAGAAAACGACCAAGATTCCAGGTGTCCTCACCATCAATCCCGAGCTGCGCTGCTCAAACCTCAGAGGCAGTAAAATCCCCCGGAAGGGTATCACTCACTGCCTGATTCCAACCTCCGAGTTTCTGATGCAGTGGGTCTGGGGTGGGGCTGGGAATTTCTAGCTCTCAGCAACTCCCAGGTGGTGTCGATGGTGCTCTGGGGACCACGCTTTGAGAACCACTGCTCTATCCTCAACAAACCTACCCTGCTCAAGATTGAAGAGTTTCTTTTGTTAAATTAAATACAAATCACAAGCACTCTCTCATTTTCAGTTCATAGGGACATACTCACGTGGGAAACTGGGGT